GGGGGGGGGGGGGGGGGGAGCGCGGCCGCTGCCGCAGCGGCGGGAACGGCGGCGGCGCGCGCGGCTCTCGCGAGAGCGCCGGCTTGCGAGCGGCTTCAAATCTCGCGAGATTGGAGAGCGTCCTCCCCGGCTGGAGGGCAAGATCTCGCCCGAGCAAGCGCGAGGTCTCGCGAGAGCTGCCGGGCGGCGCGCGCTGTGGGGTGCGTCACGTGACCCGGGTCGTTTCTCACCAATTCCGGTTTTTTGTGGTTTTTTTTTTCTTTTCATTTTTATTCTACAAATACAAAACGAGGGGGGCGGGGCCGCGGCCTCCGGACACGCCTACAAAACAGGGGCAGCCAATGGGAAGCGGCCCCGCCCCGTCAATCAACCTGAAGACACTTTGGGGAGGGGCAAAAAAAAAACCAGCAGGAACCAATCAGAGATGGCTCCGCCCCCTCCCGCAGCTGTGGGGCGGGGCTCATCCAATCGCCTGAGCTCCTGGAGGCGGGAAATGAGAAAGCCCCGCCCCCAGCTCATCCACAGCCAATAAGAATGTGGGAATGGCAGTGGGCGGGGCCAATATGCAGCTCCACCCTTTTTAGGGTGTGGTCTGTGGCTATGTGGGTGTGGTTTATTGTAGACACGCCCCTTTTACCCTACATGGTGTTGGGGCGTGGCTCAGGCTGTGATGGGGCGTGGTCTCAGTGGGATTCGCGTTGTGGGTGTGGCCTCGGATTGGGCCAGACCTGGAGGGGCGGGGCCTAAAGACCACGCCCTTCTCGTAGGAACAGTGGGATTCTGATGGGCGTGGCCCCGCCGGCCCCGCCCCTTTCTGCAGCAGCCCCGCCCACAGTTCGCTGTTCACATCGCAGCGGGCGGAGCCTGGGGGGGTGTGGGCGGTGCGGCCCTGCCCCTGGGCGTGTCCCAGCCCCGCCCCTGGGCGTGTCCCGGCCCCGCCCTCAGAGCAGCAGTTTCCCGTTGCGGTGGATTTTCAGGATCCGGCCCAGGCGCTGCTTGGCTGTGGCCAAACCCTTCCGGGGGCGCTTCCCTGGGGGGGTGGGAACGTCAGCGCCGCTGGGGGGGGGACAGAGACCCCCGAAACAACCCCAGAACCCCCAAAAACAACCCCAGAACCCCGAAATTACCCCGAAACAACCCCAGAACCCCCAAAACAACCCCAAACCAACCCAAAACACATCAGGTACCACCCAGACACCCCCGAAACCCCCCAGACCCTCCTCAAAACCCCTGAAACGTCCCCAAAAACCCTTCAAGACACCCCCAAAACCCCCCAGACCCTTTCCAAGACCCCTCAGACATCCCTAAAACACCTTGGACACCCCTCAAATCACCTCCAAAATCCCTCGGACATCCCCCAAAACATACCCAATCC